AAAATATTATCTATACGAACCTATTTTTCACGACAAATAGACAGATGGGAATGAAGAAGATGGGTTGAAGAAACACTGAGGAGAACGATAAATGACAACACTGTGTTCTCTGAGCTATCTGGATGGTAGTTAATTTGCGAAGCTTTCATTGCCCCCTACTAGTCAACATCTTCAGCGAATACTCCTATTTGAATTGAAGTGAACTTTCAGATTTCTCCATCAGTTCATTAATCATCTCTCCTGGTGGCTGACTTTGGATGTGATTGGTTGTTTTTGTGTGTTTTCACATCCTCTAGGCTACTTGTATTGGAACTGATTGTTTCTTGAACATGAACTTTTACCCTTTGTGTGTGAGGTTTCTTTCTTATCGGTTGATAAATTTTGTCCGTCTATCTCGATGTGTCTAATGATTGATGATTCACTGGAATACCAGGCTGACTTCTAAAAATTCTCTAGAATTCTTGTTGTTTCCTCTGTTTGTCTAATATTTGAACGCTGGCTGTCCCACTCGAATTGATATCCTTGGTTGTGTGTATGTAGTGATATGAGCGAGGGAGTGGATATCATGTCTTTTGACGGCTAGCTTATGTTCGTGGATATGAAGACGAAGAACAGGGTAGTCCACTTTGGCCAATGTAGTGTTTTTCGCACTTGTTACAGTTTATTTTGTAGATACTGATGTTGGTTTTATCTTCTTTCGTTGTTGAGTCTTTTGGTTGACATAGAACTGAGTGAAGTGACTTTGTTGGTTTGTGCGCGATGTCAATTCCCAAAGGTTTGACGAGTCTTGTAGTGATTTATGAGATATCCTTTATATATGGTAAGGCGATTTTCTTTGTGCTTTCCTTGAGGGATTTGATTTGATAGGTTGGCTTGGGGGTATATGTCTTTTGATGAAATTCCGTGGATATCTATTCTTTTGGAAGATGTCCATGAGATACTTTTCTTCAATTATCCTTGAGTTGGGAGTGCTGTAATGAGTTCTGGCTGGCCCTCTTGAATAGTGTTTGTATGCAAACACTACGTGCCAGGGGTCAACTCTCGAGTGGATTCCAAACGCGAAACAACAAGATTAAAACACAGATTCCAGGGTACATGAAGGGAACACATTAAGTAGAAAAGATGTGAAAGTTCATGGTGAATCGTAGAGCCAATTAGTCTAGTAAGACAACACAGAACAGAGTACAGTGAAAATGTGTGCCGATAAAGGTCTATATTCCATGAAACCAACGGGTACCAACACTCCACGTCTTTACGGTCTACCAAAAAAAGTGCACAAACCGGGTCTTCACCATCTTCGTCCTGTTTTAGATATGTATAACTCTCCATTTCACGGAACAACAAAGTGGTTAGTGAAGATTCTGGGTCCTTTGCACACAGAAATCGTGCAACATAGAATTAGTGATGTCTTCGACTTTATTTCTAAAATATTTGAGACTAATGTGAGGTATAAACGCATGTTATCCATGGATGTATCATCACTATTCACTAATGTACCGCTTATGGAAACAGTAGATTATATTTGTCAAGAAATCACCGGAAGGCAATTAGATTTAGGAATCCTCTTGTGTAGCCTCAAAGAATTACTTCTTAAATGCACAATGAATGTTCACTTTGTCTTCAATAATTCATACTACCGAGAAGTAGATGGAATAGCTATGGGTTCACCATTAGGCCCAATGTTAGCTGACTCCTTTCTCGCAAAACTTGAAAACGCGAAATTGAAGGATATCATCAAGGATTTTGATATACATATATATATATGTCGATGATACATTTATCTTAGCTGATGGCAATGTTAACATAGACGAATTGTTGCTGAAATTCAACAACATTCACCCTTCGCTTACCTTTACTTGTGAAGAGGAGCAGGAGAATAAACTACATTTTCTGGATGTCTTGGTAAGTAAGCGAGAAGATGGGTCACTTGGGAGAAGTGTGTATAGAAAAAGCTCATTCACAGGGCAATACACACACTTCCTTGTTACGCGCCCATTGAATATAAAAGAAATGTTGTTAAAGGTCTTACGAGCAGAGCAAGAAAGATATGTACGAATGACCTCTTACAAAAGGAAATGGAATATATTCACGATTCCTTGGCAGAGGTGGGCTGGCTATCCGAGTAGTTTCATAAAGAAACATATGAAAACATCAGAGAGAAAACCTGAGACTCTGACTGTACGTAATAAGCCTCTATTTATTAAGTTACAATTTAGTGGTGACTTATCGAGTGAGATTATCGTCCAAAAACTTTCAAGGAGTATACGTAGAACATTTTGCGCAGCACACCTATGTTTGTCATTCTCTAGCCGACGAATGATTGGGACGCGAACGAAGGATAAACTTAATAGTTTTGCCACATCTATGTGCATCTATCGATTCAACTGCATCTGTGGTGACAGTTATGTTGGGCACACTACTACTGGACAGCTTAGCCAACGTGTTAGTGAACATCTCCCATCGTGGTTTGGCAAAGGACAGACAAAAACAATCCGTAGCTCAATTCTCTCACATTTAATTGATAGTGGTCTTATAGTGGAGAAAACGACAGTTTCAAAGTAATTCATCGTATCCCACTGAATCTCTCCAATAGTCTTCGTATTCGTCTATTGCACACAGCTGAGGTAGGCGATAGGCTTTCGAACTATTAAACCTAAACTATGCATTCCAAAGAAGTTCGTACAGCCATTATCCCTCCCTTATTGGCCTATTAAGACATAACTAACTGATGAATTCTCCACCACCCCTTGTTTATATTTTCAACCCCTTTCTTATCATCCCTTAATCTAATTACCTCTTCATTAAAAACGTGTCTCATTTACTTCCCTTACAGTCTAGCATTATTTAATCGGGTCATTTGTTTTTACTAGCCTTTATCGACTACTATGTCTACCTGAACAATTGTTTGTTTAATCTTGCTGTTTCTTCATTATTCGTGTTATCACAGATTGCCTCACTTTTTCATCCTTATTATTGATAAAACCATTCTTATTATTACTAACATCACTACCATTATGACTAATTGCACAATTTATATTTACCATTGTATTATCCTATAGACAAAACACCACGATTGGTTTATATTTGAATTTTATTCGTAAACTTATATATATATATATATATATATATATGCTGTTGGTGTTGACCAGGAATCTTCATCACCTCTGTTTTATCTGTGTTCACTTGAAGTCCTATCTTTGATGCTTCTTCTGCCAGCTTGTTGCTTTTCACTTGCATATCTTCCAGTTTGTGGGAGATCAGACATATATCACCGGTGAAGTCCAGATCCTCCTAGTTGATTTTGTGTGAGTCCATTTTATGCCTGTTTTCTCATTGTCCGTTGTCTGTCGCATATATATATATATATATATATATATATATATATATATATATATATATATATATATATATATATATTAGAGTTAAACCTGATGAGATCTCATTGAAAACAATATTGTTCGTTTAAATGTGTTGATCTAAATTTTACTATGGGAATATTTAATATATTGAAAGGCCTACATGTCGCCAATGATCTCTATGATTGCAGTAGATTGGATAATGCGACAGACAACGGACAATGAGAAAACAGGCATAAAATGGACTCACACAAAATCAACTAGGAGGATCTGGACTTCACCGGTGATATATGTCTGATCTCCCACAAACTGGAAGATATGCAAGTGAAAAGCAACAAGCTGGCAGAAGAAGCATCAAAGATAGGACTTCAAGTGAACACAGATAAAACAGAGGTGATGAAGATTCCTGGTCAACACCAACAGCAACAACAACAGACTACAATCAGCCAGCATAAATGGGAGGAACCTGACTGCGACATCTCCCTTACCTACCTACCGACCTATCTGGGAAGCATCGTTTTAACTACAGGAGGACAGAATTGACGAGGATATCAAAGCCAGAATCGGAAAAGCAAGGCAAGCTTTCATTACTCTCAAGTCTGTGTGACGGTCAACAGCACTCAGCATCAAAAATAAGATCCGGATTTTCAACTCCAATGTGAAGTCAGTGCTACTCAATATACGGATCAGAAGCTTGCACTGCGCGTCATAAAGAGCACCTCAAACAAACTACAGACCTTCATCAACAGCTAGCTGTCTTCGCTCAATACTCAAGATTAGATGGCCGGTCAGAAAAGATCACCAACACGGATCTCTGGCAATGAGCGAACCAACACAGCAGGAACCGATTGTGAAACAAATAAGCAGGAAGAAATAGAGTTAGGTAGATTGGCCATACGCTGAGGAAACCATCAAGTGACATCACTAGACAAGCCATTGCTCGAGTGGAACTCGAAAGGGAAGTGGTGAGTTAGTCGTCAGGGTGAGGGTGACTTCGAGGAGGTCATATGAAAAGGAGATGAAAGCGTGTGGGTAGACGTGGAGCGGAGTGAAAATGTTGGCAGAAAACCGAAGGCAATGGAGACGCGCGGTTGAAGCCCTGTGTTCCTCTAGTAACTAAAGGATGTAATAATAATACAATTCTCCCACACTTGGAACCCAAGTGAATAATTACATAATAGTAACAACCGATGTATGTATAGAAAAATATATGTATATATTTGTATATATGTATATATATATATATATATATATATATATATATATATATATGTATATTTCTTCAATTAATTACGATTAAAATAAGTTAGTTTATCAATCATCATCACCATCACCAATCAAATTCGAAGAAAATAACAAACCAATGAGAAGAGACATTTATCTAGGTGTCCACATGTGTGCGTGTGTGGTGTGTGCGTCTGCGTCCAGATTGTCGAAAAAGTGAACACAAATGCTAAAAAAGAAATAATTTCTAGAAAATGCTGCAAAAAAGTGCGTCAATGTGTATGTGATGGATCAGTGTACACACACACACACATGAATGAAGAGAGCGAAGCCTGAAGCAGTCGGGGAGGGAGGGGGGAGAGAATGAAAGTTTTAAGATATGAAGAGAGAGAGAGAGATGTGTGTGCATATTCTTTGACCCTAACTAATCAACCTTGAATGATTATTGTTTAAATTCACTGTAAAATGACCTGAACCAATTCTGAAGTTCTCTTCAAATTTATATCCATTTTTTGTAAGATATTGTATAACAGCAGGTCGAAGAACTGGTGCTATTGACACAAGATCACTTTCACAACCAGCAGCACGTCCTGTAATCACTGTAAAATATTTTGGTACATTTATTGTAGAATTTTGTGTATTCTTTGTGCTATTTAATTTATCTTTTAAATAACTTAAACGTTGTTGTAGCACACTTAGAGCACAGGATTTATTTAATCCGTGCAGATCAAGATAAGCGAAGGCTAAACATGCTGCACTGATTGGCCTTTCTCCATTTGTAAGCAATTCTGTTTCATAGAGTATTGATCGAGTATCGACTAAGTATTCAGCTTTTTGTAGATTGAAGTAGTACAGTTCATTTTGCAGTGATCTAAGCTATTAAAAGAGAATTAAAGGGAAAAGAAATAATAATGATAATAATTTAAGCAGAAATAAATCAATACATACATTAACTGATAGATTACTAGAATGTGTAAACAAAGTGCCATGTAAACGAAGAATATTCTTTTCAATAATTTCTCCTCTTCAGGTTCTTACAATTATAAAATATAATATTTACTTCATGAATAATTCCCATTCGAACATTAGTAGACAGAAGACAAGTAGTTCAGCGAAGAGTCTCTTTTCGGCGAATTCATTTTCATAGCTGTACAATCGCAAATATATATGGTCATTTTGTGTGTGTGTGCATACATTAAATTTGTCAAACGAAAATACAATTAGTAAGTTCAGATGAATTGGATGTTGATAAGAGGATAGCAACAAAAGTGATGAGTTGTCATAAATGATTGTTAAATAAGAGTTACGTAATGGCATGAATAGTTTGATGAATGAGTTGTGCTCAAAGGGTGTACATGGAAACAAAATAATATACAGAATTACACAAGGGTTTTAAGTTAGAAAAATAAGCATATAAACCGAAGTAAGGTCAAATCAAACAAACAAAGAAAAGTTAGGTCAAGTCAACAGAGCTGTTACCATGCGAGTAGAAGTGGTTGGATAATTTTCCTTTGTATGCATAGTTCTGGTTCCACCAACTGGATGGCTAGGGCTTCTGCGATGCAAAGAAGACGGAATCGTACTGTCTTTGGAAGGTTGTTCTTCACTTTGTAGATTACTTTGAAGGAGGCGTTCGTTGAGATGGAATGACCAGTGTTGACGAGATGTTCGATTATTGCACTCCTTATATGGCCATTATTTCCTTTCTGTAGCCACGCTGGATAGTGTTCTTTGACCCTTTTTGACAGGATGCGCGTTGAACGACCGATGTACCTGGCTCCACAGCAACAGGTGAACTGATATATACACATAGAAGTGGTCATGTGCGGAATCTTGTCCTTTGGGTTTCTGCAGATCAGCGGGCGACTGGAGAACACTATTCTTAGTGTTGCCGCAGGGAAAGTTCTTCCTAAAGAGGTGGAAATTCTCCTTCTGAGGACGTCACTAAGTAGGTCTCCTTTGAAGTCTAGGTTCATATAAAGTATCTTTTTTGGCACGGATGGTGTCTCTTGCTTTTGGTTTTTCTGTTTGATGTTTTTCTCTACGAATCTTGGTGGGTAGCCATTTTGTATGAAGATTTCCCTCAGGAAGTTTAGTTCTTCTTCCATGGTGTCGGAGCTGCAGATGCGTCTGACGCGAGTGGCAAGGGATTTAATTAGGTTTCTTTTCCGACTGATTGGTACCCAGCTGTAGAAACTTGTTAATTGTCCGTTCCAAGTCGGTTTCCTATGGATTGACCTTCTTAAAGTTCCGTCATCTCTCCTTGTAAGCTCAACATCAAGAAAAGGGATTTTAGATTCATTTTCAGTTTCCAAAGTGAACTTTGTGGCTGGATGGCATTTGTTGAATATTTGCAGTAGTTGATTGAGATCGTGACCGTCATCACAGATGATAAAGATGTCGTCAACATATCTAACGTACAACTGGAAATTGTCGATGGTTGATTTGAGTGGGCCGTTCTCGAGGCTTGCCATGAAGCAGTCTGCTAGTAATGGGCCCAGTGGAGATCCCATTGCGATCCCATCTTGTTGTCTGTAAATAATGTCGTTGAATGTGAATTGCACATTGAGTGTACATCTCAGTAGTAGTTCTTTTAAACAGGTCGTCGGTAATCCGATGTTCAGCTGATTTTCGTCGATATAGTGACAAATATAAGAGACAGTTTCTGTGAGTGGAACGTTGGTAAATAGTGATTCAATGTCGAGGGAGAGCATAGTTTTGTTCTTTGTATTGATATCTTTAATGTAATCGACGAATTGGAAAGTGTCACGAAGTGAATGGTGGCACATTCGTTTTCGTACAGGTTCTAAAATGTCAGTGAGCCATTTCGCTATTGAATGGTACGGGGAACCTGACATATCCAGAATTGGACGAAGTGGGAGGTTGGCTTTATGTGTCTTTGGTAAGCCATATAGTCTTGGTATTGTTGACCCTGTCGGTCGGATCTGATCATAGACTTCATGAGTGATTAACGTTTGGGTTTGCATTCTTTTCAGGACATCGGTGAGTTGCTTTTCAATCTGTTCTGTTTTGTTTCTTTCGTTGGGTGGTTGCGAAAATTTTGTTTTATCTGACAAGATGTTGTTCATTTTCTCAATGTAGTCTTTCTTGTCCATAAGGACTATACCGGCTCCTTTGTCTGGACGAGTTATAAGGAGTTCTTCATTTTGTTTTAGTTGATTTAATTCTTCTCTATGTTGCCTTGTCAGGTGGTTGTATACTTTTGGTTTTGTATTAAGATACTGATAACAGCTATCGATTATTGTTGATTTGAAACGCTGCAATTCTTGTTCGGAGGTTGGGGTTAAATCATTTGTTTGGGTCATTAGGTTTTCGAATTGTACTTGCGTATGGAGTCTGTTGGCGTTTAAGTTGACGTCGCAGAATTTTGGGCCCATGGATAGGGCTTCTAACTGTAGGTTGGATAAAGCTACTGAAGAGTAGTTGAATACGAATTTCGAAGGGTCTTCAGGAAATTGTTTGTGTGCTTTGATGGATTTGAGGCTTTTGGTGAGTCGGGAAATAGTAGATTGTGCTCGTTTTTCAGTGACTGTATTGACATATTCCGTAAACCTCTGGGTTTCACTAGGTAGCAGATCGTGGAGGGCTGGAGACCTTTGTGAAATGTTGCGTTGTAGTTCTGGAATACGGGCTTTAATAGAGTCAATAAGATTCAATGCATGTCGTCGGAGGGATTTTGTGTTGGGATATATGTGGCTTCTTCTCAATGCTTTCCAAAACCACTTTGGATATTCGCGATTGGTGATACAATCATTGAAAAAAGTAATTTTCGCTTTCACTATCGCAAGTTTGTTGCTATTCTCTTATCAACATCCAATTCATCTGAACTTACTAATTGTATTTTCGTTTGACAAATTTAATGTATGCACACACACAAAATGACCATATATATTTGCGATTGTACAGCTATGAAAATGAATTCGCCGAAAAGAGACTCTTCGCTGAACTACTTGTCTTCTGTCTAATAATATTTACTGTTGTTACAATAATGATAACCAGTTATTCGGTGGATACATTTTTTACGTAGAATAACTAAATAAACAGTCGTATTTGTGTGACAAACGTCGGGCTAGGCTAGGCTGAATTCAATTGCAAAATATTGAGTGCTGTTGACCCCCCACCACTAAAGTATTGGTGGCCAAGAATCTGACTAACATAGCCAAACGTCTAGTTACTAAGGCGTAGGAGTAGGAGGAGATTAACGGGGATCAACCAACTAAACCTAACTCCGCAAGAGCAGATACGCAGGACGTTCGTCGGGGAACAGATCCCATCGCGTTCAAGAGCACCTTACAGCTTGGCTGAGCAAACGAGGCAGTAGAGGTATTATTTAATCGATATTGCAACATATGGTGAATACTGACCACTCAGCATCTCATATATATCGTTTAATATATATAGTCTACAAAGTTTGCCAAAAGGGTCACGAAGCAAAGGCTTCGGCAATATGCACAACATAAAGTCAGAATTTTATGCACAAAATCAGCTTAAACGATCTCTTTCGTTACCATGGTCTTGACTTTACTATGTAATTCACAATAAAAAATCTCGTTATCCTTCTTGAGTCCAGTCCATGTTCCATTTTTTGTATTATTCTATTTCACTTTGTGTTAATCATGTTCTAACAAAAATTATTTAGTCTACTATATTCTGACAACACTTCTCACTCATCTTATGTCTCCTCCACCATATCATATTCGTATATTCCGACCAGTTTGTTGAACGAAACGTTGGAATTACTTAATATTTCAATTTCGCTGCGATTTTACAAATATAAATTAAAACAGTTAGTTCCATTTATAAATTTAGACAAAACAATAAAAAGATGTGATTTGTTTAAATCGTGTATTGTGTATTTGATTGCATGGAGGATTTCATTATGAGCTGACATCAGTTAGAGAACCACTGGAAAACCTGGGAGTACTGAACAGCTGTTTCGTCCTAGTTTAGGACCCTTCAGAAGTACGCACTCACCCACCACAACTGGGTTCGAACACAGGACCTTCTGGTTACAAGGCGAGCGAGCTAGCTCGTAGACCATTTAGCCATTGGACCCAATCCAGTGGCCCATGAATTCTAACTTCACGACATAGCGCGACCATTTCCCAATGTCTTCTTCGATGAGTTACTGCCTCATCTTCAGCCTGCTGTACCCTACTGCTCACGACTTCCCATTAGAACCCCAGGTTAACTGTCTGAATAGGGCCAGTCACTAGTGAGCATAAGATTAATTTTCAAGTATTGGTTTTGGAGGGATTTTGTGCATTTGCCCAACACATTTCGAACAATCTGATCACATACACACACGGACTTGTCATAGGAATATATATATATGAAATTAATAGAGTTAAGAGGTGAGAAAATAGACAAGTTAGGTCAAGTTAAAAGGACATATAGAAGACCAAACTACGAAGGGAAGTAATAGTACATCTGCCTAACTGGTGGTATCAAAACAAAGTTTACCAAGGAAGGTTTGGTGTGATGACAAATTGTTTTTGAACGCATAAAGGTGGTTTACACTTCCTAACTGCCAGCTAGGGGGGTTGCGCCCCAAACACCTTCTGTAAATAGGTTTAAAAGACGTGTAAACATCAATTTTATGTCCTGTCTCTATAATATGTTCCACATTAGAGGAGATAGATCGCCTGTTCTCACCATTAATGCGTTCTGTGGATTCTATTTGCTTCTGAAGCCATTTAAGAATGTGCTCTGAAGCCAGCTCTTAATTGCAGAGATCGCTGAGTTCTCCCTATTTATGTGTGGCCACATTTAAATTCAAATTAGTAAATACAGTGGGATGTGGTATCATTTTTCCCATGCATGTTCCAGGGGCTTAGATGGCTTCACATTCTCAATTATTCTGATCCTAGCTGCATAAAAAGTCTTTTTTAAATCACAGCATTCAATCTCTGTCGGGTTACCAAGCTGCTCTTTATTAATTTTACTATATATATATATATATATATATATATATATATATATATACATGTTGATATACATAGTTTAGAAATGGGGTTGCCGACAATCCACGCCAAACAGCTTTTATTGAGATGCACGTTCAATGTTCAGTTCACCTTCAATAATGAGATCTTTAGACAGAGAGATGGCATTGCCATGGGATCACCAGTGGGTCCCTTGTTGGCTGATTGTTTATGGCAAAACTTGAAAATTCTCAACTTAGTCAAACCATCGGTCATTTTGGTGTTTATAAAAGATACGTAACCGACACTTTCGTCATCTGCGATAATAACGTAATTATTGATGATGTCTTGTTTGCTTGCAACAACTGCCATCCTTCTTCACAATTCACCATAGAAAAGGAATCCGAACTAAGTATTCCGCTTCTTGATGTGTGCCTCAGCAGACGTAATGACGGATATCTCCAAAGATCTATCCACCGGAAACGTACATGGAACGGACAACTAACTAATTTTTATAGTTGGGTGTCTATTCCCAGGAAAAGGAACCTAATTCATTCGCTCTGCTTTAGGGTAAGAAAAATATTTGTAGTTCTGATTGCGTTGACTCAGAACTTGACTTCTTAAAAGCCACACTCACAGAAAACGGTTACCCTAACCGATTTATTGACAACAACATGAAAGATAAACAGTCTAAACTGGTCACCGATTCAGTTCCAAAGAAAACCTTATTCATGAACTTGTAATTCAAAGGTGATCAAGCTTCAGATATGCTCAAAAATCGTCTCTCTAAATCAGTCGGTAAGATATTTTTTACAGCAAAATTACATATGACGTTCACTAGTCGCAAGTTGTTCTCTACCTCTGTAAAAGATAAGCTCCCCCATCTGGCCACCTCCATGTGGATCTATCAGTTCACCTACTCTTGTAGAGCAAGGTACATTGGCCGTAGTCAGAGGACGCTTTCCACACGGATACAAGAAAATAATCCAGCAGCATGGTTTTACAAGGGAGGAAAGAAGAGTGTACGAAGCTCTATTTTCGAACACCTGATCGACTTCTGTCACTCGGTCAACCCTGACCATGATTTCGAAATCATATATAGAATCCATGCTAGCTTCACGCGTTTTCTTCGTTACAGACTTCTAGAGACAGCTGAGGCCTTGGCAATTCATGACTTTAAGCCAGCCAGACCTTTGCGTACAAAAGAAGTATGTACAATCCCTACCTCTGCCTCGACCGTAGAGGGATAGACATTTATTTATTTTTTATTGAATTGAATTTTTGATTTTCCCGTCAATTGATTGGACCGAAGTGCTCGGTCTCAGGTTGACATGTCGGCTTCTTGTGCAGATGTTTCGACGATGTCCGGGCATTTAGTTAGTATACAATTGGTGGATGGTGGCTAGCAGTGGAATCCAGGATGCGCATTTCGTCCTATTTGGGACTCATCATCTGGATGTACCTGCATTTCTCATCATCACTCACTGAGAAATGCAGGTACATCCAGACGACGAGTCCCAAATAGGACGAAATGCGCATCCTGGATTCCACTGCTAGCCACCATCCACCAATTGTATATTTATTTATTTTGTTTATTTAGTTATTCTATGTACTTTTCCCTTATTACTTCGATTATTTTTACTATTATTATTATTACTATGCTCACTCTGAATCTTTTCCACTTGACCCACTTGTCATTTTAAACCGAAAAATTAATAATTTCTATATTTTTTATTTTTACAATATTGAATTCTATCTTATCAAATTTCACGGCATGTTATGTAATATTTTATATTAGTCTACTAATCTTATAATTATGTACCCCTTTCCAAAATCTATACATCTTATGTATTATTCTATAAATGACATTAATTATTTTGCCACTTGACATTAAATTATGATTATAATCACAAATATTTGAATTCCATTTCATAGTATTATTATTTCATGTATTCACACCTTCGACCTAATTCCCTCACCGGATATAATTTTTTTATAAAACTATATATACACGATTGTACAGCTTCACAATAAATTCGTTGAAAAGAGTCTCTTTGCTGAATATTGTGTTCATAATGCAACAATGGGGATGATTAAATTATGTATATATATATATATATATATATATATATATATATATATATATATATATATTTTTAGGACAAGTCCGTGTGTGTAATCAGATTGTTAGAAATGTGTTGCGCAAATACAAATATAATTATTACATAAATTGATAGATTAGGTCTAAAAAAAGAAAGACACAGGACAGAAGCATAACAGAAAATGAGAACAAAACTTTCTTCCATCCTTCCTTTCTTGCCTGCTTACCTACCTCTGTTACACGGAATTGTTTAACTCGACTGTCTTTAGCATAAGACAGATCACATTTTGCATGGATAATCTTTTGTCGAATACTTTCAATTCTTTTATTGAGCATATTTAACCATTCACTATTATTAGTACTACAGTTAATGCTGTTGACTTGATGACTAGGCGATAATGCATTACCATGAGAGGAATATTCTTGACTACAATATGTCATGTCTGTATCAGCATTTTCATTGAATTTGTTAGCAGTTTCCACAAGAAAAGGATTTAATGGTTGAGGTATAAAACCTTGTTTTATAAAATAATCCATAAGATTTTGTTCATTTAAGCTGAAGAGGATAGAAGCGAAAAGAACAAAAAAACAATCAAGAGGATGATGAACAAGGTGGGGTGGCGGGGATACACAACAAAATCATCATAACACCTACATAAGTAGTATGTGTACGAAATTATATATAGAAAAAATAACAAGCAAAACAAATGAACCCGCTTTAATCAAAAAAAGAGACGAATGTCAAGTCGAAGGAACAACACGCATGGGATAGCGTCAATATCAGGTTTGATTGCAGAAGCGCAGTGATTGATGCAAAGGCTCGAAAACATAATCCTAACAAAGATCAAACCCAAGATTTGGATACGTTACGTAGAAACCAGTTGGAGAAAATTCACAACTTAATAAACAACGTCTTCAACTACATCAAATTAACAAGAGAAAAGGAATCCAAGATCCAAATCTCATTTTTGGACATCTTAGTCAAGCGAATAACCACAGGGGAAATAGAAACTCAAGTTTATAGAAAATCAGCTCACACACAGACCAAATCTTGAATTACAACAGCAACAATTCAATAACACACAAAAAGGAATTGTATACAAACACTATTCAAGAGGGCCAGCCGAAAATCATTGCAGCACTCCCATATTAAGGAAAATTGAAGAAAAATATCTCATGGACATCTTCCAAAAGAATAGATATCCACGGAATTTCATCAAAAGACATTAAACCCCCAAGCCAACCTATCAAATCAATAGCACCCAAGGAAAGCATAAAGAAAATCACCCTACCATACATAAAAGATATCTCAGAAATCACTACAAGACTCTTCAAACCTTTGAGAATTGACGTCGTACACAAACCAACAAGGTCGCTTCACTCAATTCTTTGTCAACCGAAAGACTCGGCAACGAAAGAAGATAAAACCAACATCAGTATCTACAAAATAAATTGTAACAAGTGCAAAAAACACTACATTGGCCAAAGTGGACTACCCTGTTCTTCGTCTTCGTATCCACGAACATAAGCTAGCCGTCAAAAGACATGATATCCACTCCCTCACTCATATCATTACACACAGGCAACCACGGACATCAATTTGGCTGGGACAACGTCCAAATATTAGACAAACAGAGGAAACAACAAGAATGCTAAAAAATTTTTAGAAGTCAGCCTGGTATTCCAGTGAATCATCAATCAACAGACACATGGAGATAGATAGACAAAATTTACCAACTGAAAAGAAGAAAATCTCACATACAAAGGGTGAAAGTTCATGTTCAAGAAACAATCAGTTCCAATACAAGTAGCCTAGAGGATGTGAAAACACACAAAAACAACCAATCACATCCAAAGTCAGCCACCAGGAGAGATGATTAATGAACTGATGGAGAAATCTAAAAGTTCACTTCAATTCAAATTGAAGTATTCGCTGAAGATGTTGACTAGTAGGGGGCAATGAAAGCTTCGCAAATTAACTACCATCCAGCTAGCTCAGAGAACACAAACACATTGAAATGAGACAAATGTGTAAAGCAAATTGAAGCGAATAAAAAGGAAGGCAAAGTCACCTTGACACAAACGCACACACACACAAAATTATTCATTTTTTGGTTACTGTGTAACGACAGAAGACACAAGGGCCAGGCAACCGATCGTTTATTAAGGAAATCCAAAGATATTTATGGATTTTTATGTACATTATTATTAGCGTCATTGTAAGCAGAAAATCAACATCTACTGATTGGTTGTTTTCTTCCTGAAGGTTATTCTGTACCGCTTGTGACCATTTCTTAGAAAGTTAAGCCATATATCTGCGAATCGTATTTGAACACATTAGGTCTACTGTGATTGGTTGTTGAGTTCCTCAAGGTTAGCCCGTGTTATTATTTTATCTCGTGACCCCGATTCGGGGCGCAAACATTGACGTAAATTGGTGTCTACAGCTTTGGTTAGCAGACAGCTCTCACCACAACAGGATTTCATCATCAGCTAACAATGATTAGAGAACCATTGGACAGCCAGTCGTTTCGTCAGCCTAGTTTGGGACTCTTCATCAGTACCCACCCACCATAGGAGTTCGAACCCAGTACATCCTGGTTACAAGGCAAACTCGCCTACAAATCAATACATGAATTATCCATTTTTGTTAAGTTCTTACACACACACACACACACAAGACTTCAAGCTGTTCGAAGCCTTTCAGTAGGGGCGGTAGTGTTACTTAACTTTTACACAGGAGGGTTTTCAGCCTCAAGCATCACCCACCAAACTCTCCTACCTTCCGATCTTACTACCATCCGACTAAAAAACCTGGAGAGCTTAAGAAGTATCATGGAAAATGCGTATACCACAACATTACACAGAGGAAAGAACAAGAAGCTAAACAGCAAAGCTTTGATTGTCAACAGTTGTACTAGTGTTAGTTACATTATATCTAACATAAGTTTAATTCCACAGAATAACGAAGCGAGATTAAAGGCGTGAACAATTTTCAATTTGAAAGTATGAAATTTCAGATTACAGGGGACGAAAAAAAACAAAATTAATTTTCGTTATTCAACTAAAAAATGTTTGATCTCTGTTGACCAATGTTTTGCCATTATAGAAGTGTATTTACAATTTGCAAATGGGGGTGAAATTTCTACCACAGTTTCTTATGGAAATCAAGTTATTTCGATGATCATCACAATATGTGATCTGCTTGATACCATACATATAATAAATGGTGATCATAAAAGGCATGTTAAAAGCATGAAAGTACATACTACTGATTGACTGAATTTGAGTAGTTGTATACCATCATATATGTTCCTTCCCATTATTTTGGAAACTGTCTGCCTGACCCTGTCGAATATTCGTCGGTATTTCGCCTCTCACTTTCACATGATGCTTTCAACCGACCTCACAGCAGAGTCCCAAGTAACAGCCTCATCGCTGACAGAACGCCACTGAACTGTTCAGAAGCCTCGAAGTCCTTCCCGAAGCTCCATATGTCTCCATCAAAAACTGCAGGGTATAGGCTTTCCATTTGTCGGTAGGCAGCGACACCATATGTAACAACAGAAGACAAGGGCCTGTCAACAGATCGTTTATTTGAGAAATCAACACAAATTTATATATTTCCATGTACATTATCATAGATTATTGTAAGGAAACAAACACAGTTTTCTGATTCGTGGTGGTTTCTCACTGAACGTTAATCTTTCATCTCCTTGTGGCTGTTTATTGAAGTTCAGATTATCTATCTGCAAATTGTATCCGCCTTCGCAAAGTCTTCTGTGATTGGCTGTTGAGTCAGTCAGTCTTTGTTCTTATTTTTCTCATGACTAATATTGGGGACGTAAACATTGAGACGCAAATTACTGTCTACCAATTTCGGCTAGCAGACAGCTCTCACTATAGAAGTATTTGCTAGCCAACCAGATCAAGGTGATATAAACACCGTTAGGCTATTTCTCTTGTTTGAGTTCTAGCTTTTCTGCCGCGTATTCACTCAGTTTTGATGAGCTTCGGTAGTGTATAATTTTATGCAAAATTAAGTGTTTATTCATAAAAGCGGAAACCCAGTGTAGCTTTTCAGTGACTTCATTTTCAAGCGGTTATGCAGTCATATTTTTACAGTATACGGAGAAGGACACTAAAAATCAGTCACTCGGTGTACATGTGGTGAGAGCTGGCTACTAGCCAAATTGATAGACTGTAATTTACGTCAATGTGTTTACGTCCCCAATATTATTGGTTGTGAGAAAAATTAGAACATAGACTGACTGACTGACTCAACAACCAATCACAGAAGACTTTACGTAGGCGGATACAACTTCCAGATAGATAATCTGAACTTCAATAAACAGCCACAAAGAGATGAAAGATTAACGTTCAGTGAGAAACCACCACGAATCAGAAAACTGTGTTTGTTTCCTTACAATAATCTATGATAATGTACACGGAAATATATAAATACATGTTGATTTCTCAAATAAACGATCTGTTGACTGGCCCTTGTCTTCTGTTGTTACACTATTATTAGTACTACTACTACTACTACTACTACTTATCTCAATCAACTAGCAGTATGTAGTTTTATGCATAAATTCGTCATTTTTCAAAAAACAAAAACGAGATCAAATGGACGATTTCAACTTACTCGAAACGTATGAAAAGATTCTCCAAATAATTGATTTCAATTCCAGGAAATTGTGCTTTCAGACGACTAAGACAAAGTTGATTTGCCAGAGTTTGAAGACGCTAAAAAGGATTTTTGGGTAAAGAAAAAAAAATGTTAGCAAGACAAAACAAAAAACACAACACGACACAGAACAGAGGAATTTAGTTTAAACAAAGGTGATACATAACAACACAGTGAAGAAGAAGAAATTTTGGATTCCACGATGGAATGTTTTGATGCATATATATCAATGGCATCTGCATAACGTCACAAAAGAAAAAAAAGAAATCAAAGTTCAGTAGGTAGTCGCTTTGTTCTAGTTTTCGACTTCTCAGAAGTACTATTTATGCAGTCACAACTTCATGAGGAAGCAAATCACAGGGACCTTCTCTCCATATATATATATATATTTATATCTTACAATAGGAATATTACCCTTCAACCCATAAGGTTGTAATTGAATGGCTCATTTTAGATAATTTTATCAATTTAGTGACGAAGCAAATCCGATGCTTCATATCAGATTTAACTAGAGATATTATTACCACCAGTTAAATAAGAGGAGGACAATAAATAATGTTAAAGTGTTAGATAGTTGGAGGCGATCGGTCACAGGAAACCTTTCAACTAGATTTCGTGCTAGTTGGCACTCTCACCAGTCAGTCAGTCAGCAAGGCGTATCTGATACCCTGAAGGAACTCATGTCCCTCATTCTGAGATTCGAACCCGCGTCACCCAGTGAGTGCTGCAGTCAGAGATGTTACCACTGAGCTATTCTGGTTCAGGATTGACCTCCTGTAGGACTAGACACGTCACACTATTTACTAGTGTTCAATCAAACTACCCACTACAGTCCTACAGGAGGTCAACTGCAAACCCGAATAGCTCAGTGGTACCGTCGCTGACTGCAGCACTCACTGGGTGACGCGGGCTCAAATCTCAGAATGAGGGACATGAGTTCCCTCAAGGTTTCAGATACGCCTTGCTAACTGACTGGTGAGTGCCAACCAGCGCAAAACCAAAGGTGTCATGCAAGGCTTCCTGTAGTCGATTGCCGCCTCCAACCATCTAATATCATCAGATCAATGTGCATTGTGATGGATGGCGAGCCACCTAGTGGCATGGTGGCCACATTGCATACTTGATTGACAGAATTCAGTCTGCACCAAAGAAAGCACCAGACACGTCACACTAGTTACTAGTGTTCAATCAAATGTTAAAGTGTATTCAACTCACACATTATAACATTCTAACAAGTTATTTGATTGTATTTGATCGATAACACTAATATTATTATTATTATTTCCGGATGTACTATATTGATTTTATTCAAAATGTCTCATCCTCAATTTTTACCCATGTATATAAATGAAGCGAGAAAGTTGTGTGAGTGAGTGCCTCGATATGGTTATGAGCAGTAGGAATAAATTGTGCTCGAAACGTTGGTCATCAGTTAATATTACTGTATAACACCACTGTGTGACACTATTTCATAATAAAATCTTATGTATAATGGAGTTATACTCTACCGCCACAGTGCCCAAGGTGTCTCCTCTTATTAAAATCTTCTTTCTTCATTATCCTCTAATTTGTCACATCCTCGTTTCATTTTACTTCTAATTAATAAATATATATGCGCAGTCAATCCTTCTTCTTCTTCTATTGGTTGTGAATAGAATGTATTGTACTAGTAATACTGTAACAACAGAAGACAAGGGCCAGACAACAGATCGTTTATTACGGAAATCAGCACGTATTTATATATATTTCGTGTACATTATCATAGCTTATTCAAGCAGACAAACACAGTCTTCTGATTGGTTGCTTCTTGCTCAAGGTTATTCTGTACTACTTGTAACTGGTTTCTCAGAAAGTTAAGCCATATATATCTGCGAATTGTATTTGTCCACGTTAAGTCTTCTGTGATTGGTTGTTGAGAATCAGTCTTGTTCATATTTTCTCACGGCCAATATTGCCGACATAGACATTGACGTAAATTAATGTCTACTAATTGGCTAGCAGCTAGCAAAAAACTGTAGACACCAATTTATGTCAATGTTTACCTCCTAAATCGGGGTCACGAGGTAAGACAATAACAAGGCCTCACCTTGAGGAACTTACCAACCAATCACAGTAGACCTAATGTGTTCAAATACGGTTCGCAGGTATATGGATTAACTTTCTAAGAAATGGTCACAAGCGGTACAGAATAACCTTCAGGAGGAAAACAACCAATCAGGAGATGTTGATTTTCTGCTAACAATGACGCTAATAATAATGTACATAAAAATCTATAAATATCTCTCGATTTTCTCAGCCACAGAGTTAGAGCTAAATGTTCAAGAAGAAGTAATTGAAGATGAATTAAGTAAGCATTGTATATGATACTTTTATTGATCGAAAATAGCTAGCCCGACAAATTTATCAAAACAAAAAACACACGACAAAGAAAGCGGCGGAAAAGGACTACTCACTATCTGTAAACAAGAAGCCATTTTATATACGACTACAATTCATGGGCAATATACCAAGTGAGATAATTACGAAGAAATTAAGAAAGTCAGTTCAAAGAACTTTTAATGCTGGTGAACTACACGTCTTATTCTCTACACGACCGATGGCGATTCCTCGACTGAAAGGTCAAGTACCTAGATTAGCTGGTCATTTCAAATTGTATCTATCAATTCAACTGCGCTTGTGGTGGGGCGAATAATATTGGCCGTTGCTCTAGGAACTTGATTTTTCGTACTCGCTCGAGAACATTTCTCACTATGCCTAAGTAAAGGTGCAGTTAAAACCATTACCAGTTCGACACTGGACCATCTGGTGCAAACCGACTACAAAGCCAGCCAGCGTGGAGGAATCCTTCTCTATAATCTACCGAGTGCCTAATAAATTTCCAAAATCATCGAAGCACCGCATGCTCCAAACACCAGAGGCTATATTGCAATTCGCCTCAAACAACCAGTGCTCTATGTTCAAAAGAAGCAAGTCCAGCCAACCACTACTACTACCACCCTGGCTGGCCTTCAGTGGAGACTATAAATTCATGAAGTTGTAATATTATCCTTCCTAATTCTTCTGATATTCAGCTTGTTTTATGTTGATGCTATGGAGCTGTAATCTATCAATATTATTGATTCGATGTTATTTAAACAGCAACATTAATGTTGTTCATAACACTAATTCATTCATTCACTATTATGGATGGATATATAACTGTAGAGCCTGATGAAGAAGGCGTTATCGAAAAGAGTATTCTTTGTTCAGTTTCCATTCTTTTGAAAATGATCTGTTGCTTGGCCCTTGTGTCGTTCTGTTATTACACTATTACTAATACTAATACAAACACTAATAAATAATGATGGTAATGATAATAATAGTAGTAATAATATTAATAAGCATATATAAATTCCCAAGGAAATGATACTATCTCAATTCTACAATCTTGTAAAGCATTAAATCTTCTTTCCCGTGAACATTAACCTTTTCATCTCATTGTGGAAAACTTTCTAGCCATCTCACATTTATGGCATAAAATCAAAAATCGTATATTTGCATTCCTTTATCTTGTCTTCCGCACTTTATAATTTTGATTGGAGAGAAGATGACGGAAGGAATCATGGGGGGGCGGGGGATTTATTCGTCTTCTTTTTCTCTCCTTTTATTAGCTATTTGGGTATTGGTTAATCATAAATCTCTATTTATTGTAAGAGAATTTTCAAAGCGTGGAAAATGAAAAGAGAAAAAAAAGGAAAACAAATAGGCGATAAAGAAATCAAAGGCGGCGGTGTATGTACAGTTAGTAATGTTGTTGTTGTTGTTGTGGTTGTTGTTGTGGTTGTTATTGTTGTTGATATTGCCTGACTAACTGACGAGGTTTATTTATTTATTTATTTTCATCGTAATGCTTTTATTCCTAAGTGGAAATAGACATACCGAGTTGGATGCTGACGTGTTGATCATGAATACTGTATGACTATGCGCATTGTAAACAATATTAATGTACGACAGCCATCAACCTGTCTCCTCAGTTAAAGCAGGGGCTTAGTTAAGTGTCTGACAAACCGAGCCATAGCACTAAGTAGCACAAGAAAAGACCTAAGTGATGAACTAAAACAAATAGAAGAGGCGTTGGTGTTAAATAACTAACCATCCTATAAAATTCATTAGGAAGATCAGTAAAGACCAAAAGCAAAATAAAAATAATTGTGAAACTATTAATGATAACATAAATAAGAGAGAATATAAGTCACCCACTGTTATACCATATAAGGAGGGGACATCTGAGACCCTACGTGGAATTCTTAATAAAGCACGAATTAAGGTGGCATTCAAACCTATAAACTCACTCAGGAAGGACAAGCTCTGTGGGCTAAAAGACTCGGCGGACCCAATTAGAGAAAATAATATAATTTACAAAATACCCTGAAATGACTGTAAATTAGGTGAACTGCATAGGTCACACTAGTAGGTCGTGGGAAGTCAGATTTCCAGAATATAAAAATTTAGCTAAGGGAAGAATGGTTGACCCCACCTGAGAAGATGAGTAATGCAGAAAAAGCTCAACAATCGCACTTCACTCATTAACACACAAACACACAATAGGGCGGGTGGGAGAGGGTTAAAATTCTAAGAAGTAATCTGTGTAGGTGGAGAGAGAGAGAGATTGATTACTGAATCCTGACTGGTTCATTGAGTCTACCTACACCCAACACAACACATTCAACAGAAATGACTCAATGCAAATACCAGAGATATGCATGGAAGATATTATTACCACCAGTCAGTCAGTCGGTCAGTAAGTCAGTGAAATCACAGGAGGATAATAAATAATCTCAAATTGTATTCTGTTTCAATTCAATTCACGTACATCACAACATTCTAACAAGTTACTTATTACTGATGACTATAAAAACACTCGTCTTATTTCCCATCTAATTGTATTTGATCAATAACACTCGTATTATTATTATTTCTGAATGTACATTATGTGCGTCGGTGGCACAGTGGTTAGGACTCTCGCCGACCATTCACATGGTCCTAGATTCGACCTCCTGACGACGCACACCTGATATCT